ATGTAAGCGACGATCAAGACTGCAATGGAATTGAAGAGAGTGACCAGCCAATTCAAATAATTAAAGGACTCCCTACCTCACAAATTGCGCGCTCCAATATGTCATCGCAATGCTGCGATACGCGGCGGGAGAGGCGTGCGCGACGCCGTCATCAGGGAGAAGTTCCCGGACCCCCCACTTCTCATTGCCAGTATCCATGTTGCAGCTAAAAAAAGCATAACTGATTGCTGTATCTGAAGCTCTCTACCAAATACCGCTATTCAGTCTGGAGTGCTGTTCAGCCGCAGTTGAATCGGTTTTGTGTAAATGATTCGCCGCCCACGACGGTCGCGGACGAGTTGCCCTCTTATTGCAGATCTAGCTTTCTTCATACTGCTCGATCGATATGCGATTATTATATTTGGCATGGTTCTACTAATGCTTCCTTTGTTCCTGTATTCCTTACCCGCTGTGCTAATTCTGCTTCATTCTGCTTCAATCATTCTCTCCCACGAACGTTGCTCCCCCCGCGAGGCGACCGTTCCGGTCCCATCGTACCACAGCAACTCCTCAAAAAGAATTGAAATAGGATGTAAGTGGACATTCAACATGTGGTGTTCCCAACAAGTACATAGTTTAGATAGGTAAATCCTTATAGTGGGAGCCCGATAGGTAAATGTGAAAATGGCCTCGTTCTCATAACAACCACCGAGCGCTCACACTGGGTGACCTTTCCGGATTGCGAAAGTTGTTGACAGCTCATCCGGCTAGTGGCGAAACTTCAGAAAAGCTCATAAGAGTTTAACAACATTTAATGTAAAACAGTCTGAAAATTATGTACGAACCTAATACCAGTGGGTTCATCGTTGCCTGCATGCCTACAGCGTTAAGAACCCTCTTGTTTCAGCCTCTACCGCACCTACCGAGGTCGTCAGCTCAAAACTCAACAAGGCCGTCTAGAAGACCCGGAAATGCTGGACAGAATCACGAGGTGAGTTATAAGTGGTGGACACTTTAAACAATCGGTCAATTAAACACCAGCTCTTTCCTACCGCGTACCGAATTCGTTTCACAAACGGGGTCGGCGTAGTGCCATTGTCGTTAGATGTCTGGATACGGTATTCCAGGGATATTCGCCATTCGATGGTTGGTGCGCGTGGATGGAAGGCAGACTATGCACTGTTAGTGACATGGGAGAGAATGAGTTANGGTGGATCTCCGAAAGTCACAGATATGAGCAAATACGAGCAGGCCAAAAGATGGGTAAGCTACAAGATGCGTCGGACTAGCTGAGAGAACCAGTCGGCTTTCGCGTTTTTGATTGTAGGGCCCTACAGAAAGTAAATTCATGGAAACCGCGTACGTTCGGCATCATTTTGCCTACCCACTTTATTCTTCGAGACAATTCTGTTAATGTCTGCCCTCCCATTTCAACAGCTTTGGTGGTGTTTCGGTGTTTGATTGAGGTCAGAGTGAGACTCTCCCTGAGTTAGAGGCTGGGACCAGTGTTGAATTGAAGTTAGAGAGTACCACCAAAGGCTGTCCTAGAGAGAGAGTGACGGGCTTAGAAGTGTTGTGCTTTTTCTGTTGAGATAACTTTATTTCCAGCAAAATACCTATCAAATGGTACTGGCAACGGACGAAATACGGACATACTGCATGTTGAACTACGCGAACATTAATTGGACGTCATCTTCTCAGAGTGGAGCGCTCACTCGAGGACGAGGAGGCAAGCAGAGCGCTTTGGTACGTGGTATGGACAAGCGTCGCTACTCTCTATAACCACATAAAACTCCAGATAAAAATGCAGATCTTGAGTTTTCATGATTAATAAACTGCTGGTATTGTAGCCAAGAACCGGTATTTTGTTGAGGTTGGTTTCAATGGAGGCAACGGAACCGGCTTCTACCAACTACCCTTCTCTTCTGAAGGCAACTCATACAAACTCGTCCAGTTTGGCTCAACTCAAGTAAGCTATCGAATTATTGCATAAGCTGGTGACCTAAAACAGCATGCTTAAGGTGGCTGGACGTTGGCTGGCTCGAATTGATGAGCAGATTCAGTATGGTGGCTGTACGAATGATAGCACAGGTAGCTCTGATCTCTTCAAAAAGGCTGAATTCACAGCAACTGATATGTCTAATTGTGTATGGACTGTGATTGAATCACGTGTTACCTATATCATCTGTCGTCCCCTGGATCATCGATTTCCTCGAGCGGGCGGCAGTAACGTCTCCATTCGTCCCTGTTGCGAGCAAGGGGAATTTGAGGCATACCATTTCTTCCGTTCAAAGCTTCTGTGAAAAGTCTGACCATCGAGCTGGTGGCCTCCTGGTGTTCGGTAAACGTCCCGAGGGATCCAGTCAGAAACCGCCCTGTGTTTAAACATTGTCATTGTTTTATTTATTTGTTAATACATGCATGGGTACGCTCATAGGAACAATGGAACTATCGCAACAGTATGGTAACATGCTAGGAGGATTCGCATTGAATGTGACTGGACCTTGCCTCCGCCCGACAGATGTTATCAAGATGCAGTTCGACGAGATTACCGTAGACTGTGAAAGGGTAAGTCTGCAGTCTGCAGATTTCCCAGAGCTTCACCCACTTTCGGTGCTGGTCGAGGCTCAGTGGATGTGTCTGGAGCTTTCCGAGCAGATGTACTAGGTAAACTTTGTAGATGGATATGGTTATGGCTCGATGTGTGATTCCGACGAACACCGTCTTCAGAATTGGCATCGTGGACGTGAAATTGTCTGTGGACGCCGGAAAGAACTACCCATGGTACACCAAATTCTACATAAGTACGTCATGTTTAATGTGCTCAATTTTGTAGTCTTCCGGTGTAGTAGGAGCGGCCCACGCTAGACCTTGCAGAGCGGCCGCTCCTGTTATACTTCAGCACCGCTTGAATGAGCTTATGTCGAGCGTTTATAGTTTTATGCATTAGCTACCGCCGTGTCATTACATACTGTTGTAGTAGAAGTGAAGCGATCTAAAGTCCCAACGAATCCATTTAGTACAACCTGGTTTGGCTCGACGCAGAGTGAACCTGATCAACGATCCCAGAGAGCCGATGAATAATTGGAACTTCTATGATCCACAGGTATGATGCCTAGGTACCTTCAATGTTTCAATGTTTGTAGGAAGGAATTATGAATGGATAATTGTAAGGGAGCATCATTGAAGTAAAAATTGCATAAAAACGTGGGGAATATCGTCCTTAATTCAGAATTTGACACTCTCTTGGGAATGGGAGAACATCACTGCAAATACAAACACGGCTGTCGACATTGCACTTTGGGGCTACTGGGAAGACACCGAAGGACATTCTTTCAAACAGGCGAGCAGTTTTTTCAATCAGGAGGAACGATTTTAGCTGAATGTGAATTTCAGATTGGTTACATAGCCAGGAGACATCCAAATAATGGAGTTCTTTCTTTCTCACCGCGCAATTTGGAGGTTAGTCACGACTTTCCTTCAATGTTCTTTCAGCTCCATGCAGCTTAACTATGTATACCCATACAGTAACTTCGGCCGGCTATCCGAATTTATTGTATGGGTCATGTATGCATCCAATACGCCATTACGATACTGGGTTGAAGTTGAATGCGTGGGCTCATCCCTCGGACGAGATTGACGACAAGGCTTTATCTTAAAGACTTTTGGAGAGTTGATAATTGTAGAATTCAGATTGACTACGAAGCGGATCTGGATGCGTGGCGTTTTTTCCAAGGAGGGGTCATTCAGGTACGGGCGTCCGACACGTGGCTGGAAGACAGAGGAGATAGGTAGGGTCTTTTACCTGCGAGAAACACAATGAACGAGGGTAGTCCGCTAGAATAGAACGATCAATAGGAAACTGACCCTAGCGGTTCGGGGCTTTCAAAGAGCTTTCTCGTTCCTGAGTGTTATGCGCATTCAACAATAACGGTTTAAGGAAGGATGTTTAACTGAGCAGAATGGCACCATTCGAACTGCGGTGTCGGAAAAGTCTTTGCACACTTTCGTTTTCATGTTGTGAAATCTTTAGCGGTCGCTCTGAAGCGTTCAATGCGGAACATGTGTAAGTGCAGGTCAATGCGCTCTTCACACCATAGCTGCCATGACATTTCGCAACAGTTATGACCGCAAGAATCGCTCTCGATCTAAGAAAACTTGAACTGCTCCTGCTTTATGAGTTCAGAAACAACGTCAATCGAAATCTTGCGATAAGGGAAACATGTGTTGCGATGGGGCACTCTATTGTCTCTCACAGCACAACAAGGAATTGGTACCACATGTTGACCTTGTTGACTTTCCGACGCGTCTTCGCATGGCTGGAAGACTTAATCACCGGTGACCAGAAGTGTATTCTCCACATACATCACACGAGGAAGCGCCAGCGGCTTGGGTGCGTGAGCGTGGAGTCCCGACCCCCAAGCCAGAACTCGTACCTAGGAAGGCAATGGTAAACGTTTAAACTCGTTCGAAAGGATCGTTCACTGGGACTTCCTGCCACCAAACTATAATGTCAGTATTGAAGTGTACTGTACCCTGTGGACCGGATTGCTGTAAATCTACGATGGAAACACCGGAAAGTCTACTTTCTCCACGACAGTGGTCGCCCACACACTGCTTAGGAAACCACGAAGAAACTTCAAAGCTTGGGATGGCACGTTCTGGCCCACTCACCGTATTCACCAGACCTGGCTCCAACGGATTATCACCTGCTCCTATTCTGTGCAAGCAGGATCCACAAGTTGTCTGATGAATGGAAATACCTTGTCGATAACGGCGGTGCATCTATTTGTTGATGGTCAATTGTTGTGAAGGAAAAATAAACCCAAAAGAAGCGCAAAATGTGCAAAGACTTTTCCGACAGCCTAATATTTAGAGACCCGTGATGATTACGTAGTAGAGCATCCCACTAAACAATCAGAAGCGGAAGGACTTGCCCCACTGCGGTAACAACATGCCGTAATGCGTGAACAACTCACAACTACTGATGCTGGACTGTAAAGAGCTCCATATTGCGCCTTAGCTGGAAAGGTATCTCATTGTTGGTAGATAGTGGACTACATTTGTGGCAGTATTCCTCTGCTTCCTATTCGAATCATCTCGTGATTGCAATTCGAATTTGCTCTCGTTCTGAAACTTTTCCTCAGCCTGTACTCTAAGCGACACTTGTTTTAGTAAGCTATTGGCTATTGAAAACGCCTGAAGTACAGTGAGGTGACTAGTCCTGAATAATCCAACTGCTCGTCTCCTCCGCGGGGCATCCCATAGCCTACCCCAAAGTGAGCGACCAAGAGGCGTGACCCGATAACTGTTTGCTACTAATTCCAGTGAGCGTTGAGGCATCTAAACTTGTTTGACTGCAGAATGCATTGGTCAATGCCTGTTGCCTTTGGATGGTTTTTCTATCGAAAATGGGAATACGAATATGGCAAAGACTGGGCGTTGCAGGTATATTGACTACCTTTTTTACTGGTAATCCAATCAGATGCTAATGAGTTAAAGGAGAATACTAATTTCAGATGTGTCAGCACTGGTTCGATTACGATGGCAGAAGAGAGAACTTTGTAATGGAACTCGAACCGAAAAGTTAGTTGTCAGGTTTTCCCAGTAATTGCAAAACTGCTGTGTTGCCAGAAAACATCTCAATCATTGACGGGAAGGGGATATTGAAAAAACAAAACTGTGAGCAAAAAGTTAGCCCAGAATAAGGCCGTTTCCNAAAAAAAAACCCACGACCGGCAGGGACGTGCAGTATTAACGATTTCGTGTAATCGATTCGCCGCACGCGGCTGTCGCGAACCTTTCGATCGCCGTTATTACGGCTCTGGCGTCCTTCACAGTTCAATCGATATGATATCATTATTCTAGGCATGATTCTACTGTTAGTTCCTTTGTTCCTGTATTTCTTACCTGCAGCTCCATTCTGATATATTCCTTCGCGCGCGGCGTCCCTCTCGCCGCTACGCGACAATTTTGTTCCTACTGCACCACACTCCCTTCATCGATATATCGTAGAAACCATGGATTCTAACGATAATCATATGAGTGTTCGAGTTGGGTCTAGCCCGAAAAATTTACGCAACCAAATTCTATGTCATTCCCAGAAGAATTTAACTTCAAGGCACAGTTCATGATAATTTTGGGGTATCCAGTTTGAACAAAAATTGAAGTGGTAGTTCATAATAGTGCAAAAATGGCGAAACGCAAAATTGGCGTATGTAGAAAAATATAAGGCTCCAAAAAAAAAAGCAGTAAAATTGGCGGATGGAAATATGGCGCCAGTAGTTGCATGGTAGGGGTAATTAGACGAACTGTCCAAGTATGAATGCCATTCTTTACAACTGGCTATCGTAAAGTGCCTGCGTGCACCCTGTATATCCCCGTTACAAATGGTGTAACCTCTACAACCTCCGCAATGTCGTGAGAACTCGTCCGCATACGGGTGTGTGTGTCCGCCAAGCCGGTTCCGGGCTCTAATACGTCCTAAGTCTTTCGACCCTACCACGTCTCTTGTGCTTTCCTCGGGGTCACAGAAATCTCAGAAACCATTTTCATTTTGAACTGTGCCTACATCATTATGGGTGGAGCTTTCTCTATATGACAGGTTTCCCACCATTTCGGCAGTTGTGTACCTCTATACCTGTTTTTTTTTCTGAACTATGCGATATTCCTTCTTTGATGCATGAAAATCTCTTTCAGTTCCCTGTCCTTGTACATTGGATCAGGCCCTTCTGGACATAGGGCGATTCACAGCGCTGCCTGATTGCGATATGTTCGGTGATCATCGGTGCCAATACACGCAAGGAGCTCAACACTGTGTCCTTTCTGCCACCAGCGTGTATGTTGTTGCCCAGGTTTACCTCAGTATGCTACGATACGTTAGTACTGTCATCATCGCATTCAAAAATGAACATTCAATTATTGTTGACAAAAATCAAGCACTAAAATTCAATATAACCATGCATTTGAAGAATTCATTTGATAACGATCTCTCTACATCATCGAAACTAATCGACAATTACCCGACAATGCTTTTGTGTTCTCTATCAAATATCTTTTACTCAGAACATTAGGCAGTACTCGATCTGAGGCCTTTCAATAGACTTATTAATCCGAAGATTACGTTTACCTGAGTTCTTCGCCCACTACGTTTTCGTCAGCTGTTCAGGTGGACAGGGGCAGGCCAGACGTGTTGCTACGATTGGGATGGTTGGCTGCTGTTCAGCGACGATTTCGAATACAACGACCAGTATCTCCGATTCTACTCCGCCGGCGTACCGTACAGGTGAATCGTTTTCTCAAGGAGGTCTCACTAAGTTTGATTCCTGAAGAGTGTCGCTTGGATAGATTTGAAGTAGGAGACTATGATTTGAAGTACCCGTTTTCAGAGCTCATCCATTCGGTGCATTCCCTTACAAACGTCCACCTTATGTTCCAACAATGTCAAATTTCTACAACGATCTTCTTCCTTACGAAATATGTTGCAAATGGGCTGGTCACTGTGAATTTTATTTCTGGAGACGTCAAACCAGCACTTGTCAGGAATACCAACCTCCCACAATCGGTAACCCTTTGCATATTTCTCTGAAAATTGGAGAGGATCTCAGAGTTGAGGAATCGACAACTTACATACATATCTATGTTGGCTCAACTAAATCAAGGTCTCTGAAAAGGGCAAGGTTTAGCCAAGCTCTGGTTTTTCCTCCCACAGACATTCCAAATTTGTTAACACAACACCCATTTTATAACCTCGAAACCTATCAATTGAATGAGTAGAGGGTCGTGATTGAGCTCTTTAAGTAGCAGANACCACATATTCTATATAGAGATTTTATGAGTGCTCAAACCCATAGGTCTCGAAAATCTTTATATAGACGAAAACTGCATTTCAATGCTTATCCATCGTTCACCGAAATTGTCCTCTCTAATATCTTGTGGCACGACGTCAAGCAATCGCTCAATTTTCTGTTCTGTTTAGGTTATGTCTATGGAGAAAATCATTTTACAACATTCGACGGTACCAAGTTCTCATTCCATGGAAAAGGACATTATATTCTGTCGATGATGAAATCCCCACGTCATGACTTCTTGCTTGAGGCCCGCTTTGAGCAACCGCCTGAAACGCTGTGTGAGTAGAGCGTTTGACTTCTTTTATACTTCACTTCTGCTCTATTTCTAACTTTTCAGGGGAAGAGCGTGTCCGATCAACTGTCATGACCGGTTTGGCCGCACGAGACAATCATTCCTCAATAGTGCAGGTGAAGCTGGACATTCTAGAATTTAGCACAGAAATAACTGAAGGCTCAAGATTAAGCAGACGCTCTGACAAGGATCTGCAACTTCTTGAAAAAGTGCAGATTTGTTGTAGAACATGGATATGAATACAGTATGTCTCCCAAAGATGGTTTGTGTAAAGCCACCATTATACAGAATGAGATCATATCGCACTTACCATCATAGTCGATCTCTCCAGACAGAATCATTGTTCTATGCTACCAACGAAATGCGAAAGTTATTCTATACTGCCCCTAGAGAGCAGTCATCAGCAGTGCTCTTCTAAATATAAAGTTGTCATTTTTTTCAAATTAGATTTCTTCTACCAACAAGGCGACTTTACCAGACAGTGCTCTTAAAAATGTCCATATGTTGTAAAAAATGTTGTAAAATGTTCTTCATCCACCATGACTATTCGAGCCCCACGACTTTTGCTACTATAGAAAAGGGTTTCAGTCGGAACGGGAACATGGTTTGTTTTTGAGTTTTTTTTCTCACAGTCTCATTCATAAAAGAACCGTAGCCGAGACCAGCATGAAGCTTACATTTTGCCTTCACTCTGATTGGAGCAGTAACTCCAATAGCTCTCAGAAATGCCTGGTTGGTTAATATGTAACAATTTTGAGATTTAATGATTTTGTTCCATGTTATCCGAAAGCAACTATTAGTTTTTTCGAAGACTTATATATAAGGGATTTCTATCTAATATTTTCTATTTCAATGCAATCTTCTTTACAAATTTACTTCGAGCTCTATCTTGACAGTATATTTTTTCTACTCCGTCCATCATTTCTACTCCTTTTCTAGGTTTTTGCTCGCAAGGACCATCGGCGGTGGCGGTACCGAACGGATGTTTTTGTTGACGGCGAACGAATCTTCTTTGATACGCCATGGAAGAAAATACAACTCTTCAAAGGTGAAGCTATGTAATGCCAAGCTGATGATTCAGGGTTTCTTCAGCGCTTCTTCAGCGCAAAATAATGCTAGTAAGAGATGGACAGCAGTGTCAATGATTTACTTATTCTTGGCCAAGCCGTTATCTTACATACAGCACCCTATAAGTAGCTGATCCAATACACTTCAGGTGTGACAATTCGTTCTCCACCACGGAACATGAACCAGTCAGAGTTGGAGATCATGTTTGCGTCTGGAGCAGGTCTTCGTGTTGAGGAGAGCCGGGGCCTATTGAATGTTGTTGTTGCGCTTCCACAAGCGTTCAAAGAAGTTGACGGGGTAAGGCAAATTTCGAATTAAATAATTTTCTTGCCTAGGAGCTTCTTTAGCCGCACTCTAGGTGAGCAGGCCGTCATGCTATTGGACATAAAGTTAAACGAAATATCCTCAAACGGGAGCCGAACAGTTCATGGGCTTGCGCAACAGCAGGCTTATGCCTCCTGCAGTACTTGAGCTCTTCCTGACTTTCAGTCACACCCTTTCACGACAGCCTACCGCACAAAGCCGTTTTGGTTACTTTCCGATACCCACACTTCGTTTTATCAAGTGTATCAATGCTTAGACCGAGGATCACCACGGATTTCGAAAGCCTGTTTCGCAACACGGCGCATTTGTAGATTAAGCAATGAAAGCCTCTCAGCAAACAATGTGGGAGAGATGAGAAAAAAGAAACAAAAATCCGTCGGAAAAAAATTAGGCTTTATTGAAACCTCTTCCAAACTTGATCAGAGGAATTCTGTGTTGCGTCACAACTCACCAAAGCGGTCATATCTCTACCCTTTACTCAACCCTTTCACCGATTTTCGCTTGAATTCTCATCAGAAGCGTAGAAATGTTGGGAACTTCTATCATTACTTTCACTAGTTATGCGATGGTGTAAAAAGCAGGGAGCTACAGCTTTTTCATTACTATACAGCTATTTTAGCGTCTTTGGGAAGCTCCGCAGGATGAACCATTCTTCTGGGACCCTACCACAACTCAAATGGCGGTTCCGTCGCGATTTGACAAATGTTCGACGCACTATCGCACTGTTGGACTTCTAGGTATAAAAAAGTTTTTCAAGTCTCAGTCATCTGCATGTTTGAGGTTCCTTTTATGTTTGTTGTCCTTACCGGTAAGGCGGGTAGGTGGGTAAAGTAACTTAAAGATTGGATGACTACAAAACTATTGCTCGAAGTTCCTTATCAGTAACTCTTACACAAACCATATCAGGAACTTTCAATGGCGACCCATCCGACGATTTGACCACTCCGGATTGCTTGGAGATTCACACTGATTATCCTCAGACCGATATGGACTCTAGGAATATCTATTACCAATTTGGTGAACGTTGTAAGCTTGTTTTTTCATTCAGCTTGTAAATTTTGTGATATTCTGCCACACTAGAGCCATTCGTAAAATTTTAGGGCGGCTCGACCGTAACCTTCACATCCCGTCGTTATTCCAACCTGAACATAAACCGATCTACGACCCATTGAGGTTGAAACCTAGTGAGCGAATTGTGTGAACGTGCACAGGTGATATTGTTGTCATTGCAGCTTTGCTGACGAGCAGTACGTTCCTCTGTTCGATCCTTGGCTTCACTCCAATTACAGCAGTTGGTCAGGACTCATTTTTTCTAAAGAGGAAGTTAAAGTATGTTCTTCGGTTCTTCCGGAGGTGCGCCTTCGTTTTACTAAACTTTAGGAAAATTCGGGAAAGGTCTGAGTGCTATGTCAAAGCAATTGACCACAAAACCATAAGTCCGTTTGGTTCATATATGCTCACTGTTTTCATTATTATACACTGCATTCAAATATCTTTCAGAGGACAATTACTAATCTATTGGCTATATAAGGACTTAACCATTTGGTTATGAATCTGGTGATTACTTGATTTTTGCTCTCACCCTTTTTGCAGGTTCTCTGCCAAGGAGTGCCGGCATGCGAATTTGACTTTGTGTCTAGCGGCAGAAGGGAAAATGCCTTGGATACTTTGGAATACGAGAGGAAATTCGAGTTGAAAAAACAGAACGGCGAACAGAAAGGTAGTCGATCTACTGTGTTTGTTCAGCTGAACGTTTGAAATTGAACGAAACAGCTCCTTCGGTGGCCGACATGCCTTAGATGAAGGTGCTAGTAGCCACCTCCCCCCTCCTCCCCCTACCCCAACGCCCTCTCCCCCACCTTCTAACTGCATCCGAGCCAAGGTTCCGAAGAGAACGCAATTTACCGAAACTTCAGCTTTTCAGTTTTAATGCAGATAAAATCGTTTACTCAATTTTGTCGCTTTGCAGTACAGTCCTGTGGTCCATTGGTGAAGAGCAAAGGAGTTCTCAAGTACCCATCTGGGAACAATTACCTTCATGGTATCACGGTTACGTTCTCTTGTAAACCCGAATACTTCCTCCATGGAGAACAGCAACGGTATGTTACCTAAGCTCTGCCTGAAAACGAGTATTTGAGCTGTTTAGAACATGCGTGAACGGCACTTGGACGCCTGGATGGTGGCCGTGGTGTAGAGGTTCGTTACCTTGTTTGCATTATCAACAGTACACTTCAGGGAAGCAACCTAATTGTAAGAGGGAAAGGGAACAGCTGATCATCCATACATTATATAATCATTTACCATAATGTTATCCATTACGTAGACCATGAGTTCACCTCATGACCAGCTGTGTGTTGTGGTTAGAAGCTCTTTAGTCAAGAAAGTAAGAATGAAACAATTATAGGAGCTTTGAAAAAGCCGTGCCCAAATGAATAGCCCTTAGAGACTCAGGACCCATGGTTAGGTCCTCACAAACGGTCATCTATTAGGAAGTGTAAAGCAGGAGCTCTATCCGGGACAGGTTGCTTTTATGGGTCATCTGAAGACGAAATTTCAAAGGATGAGAAGACACATTTTGCATTACCCCGTAGCGATTTTTAAAAATATTTTGGATTCCTAACAATCTGCTTCGTGTTTCGTGCCTGCCCCCTTTATTCCTTTGTCTATCCATAATTCGAATACAATTGAGTTGAGTTATTGGCTATGTATGGGTGATGCTTGGCCTTGGGACCCCGTGTATCAAGCTATTTTCCTATCTGATTTTTAGAGCGCAGTGAAGAGACGGCTCTGAAATGGATGACAGCAATTCTTTCGACGGTCGCCATCCTTTTAGCCATCGCCGTCATTTTCGTGTGGTTTGCAATGGAATCGCGGCAGAGACAAAAGCAATTCATTAAAAAACGGAGAGATCGTGGTGACCTGTAAGCTTTCATAGACTCTTCTCAATAAATTACTTCTTAATACGTGTACGATTCCAAGGGGAATTGTGTCTCAGCTCAGTCAGATCAAAGGCGCTGAAATAGCAGGCACACCATCGTGATTAGTCATAGTTCGCGATAACTACGTGTCCATAATTAATTTGTTCGGGATTTGCATGTCATGGAGATCGCGATAGAATAGAAGTACAGAAATAATGGAAATTGAATGACCCAATGTTAGGAGTACGCTTCTTCGACAGGTAAATTTCAGATGGAATTCGAACGCTTCTCGATCGTCCCTGCCTCGTCTCAGGTTCCACTCGGACAGTTACTCGAACCCGGAGAAAAATGTGAGCATGGAATTTGATTGGATAAATTGATTGGGAGTGAAACAAAAAACAATCATAGGATAGTGATTACCATAGGACCTTAGCGACGAGATCTGCCCAAATTCCAACTAAGCCACTAGTTCTCAGCCTAGACGGATCAGAATGGGGAGAAGGCTCATCCTAGTCCGTCTACCCCAACAAATCTGAACATCTTCCTCTCCCTAACCTTGATTCCGCGCCGTTGGAGAGTGCGCTATGTATAGTATAACGGTACAAGGGATATTATCATGCAGGCCTTTTTTGATCGTGCAAATAAATGATGGACTTGAATCGAAACTTTTTCAGAATTTGCCATTTGCTGAACAACGATCCCTCGCTGATTCGTTCACGCCTACACCCCCTTCTGGTAAGTCTTATTCCGGGAGAAAGAATGTGGTAAGTTTGGAAGAGAAAGGGATGGAGAAGAATGATATTTATTTATTTAGTAACATGTACAGTCAGTGCATGAACAGGTAGCACATCCTACTCCAAAAACAAATCACATAAGTAATCAATATCCAAGGAAACAAGGTAGTAAAAGGCAACTGATCAAGCAAAAGCCAATAAAAGAGAAATAATACCTTATGAAACTTCCACTTATGTAAAACTAAAATGAATCTAACCAGTGTAGCTCTCAGCAAGGTTTTATTTCAGTGCTCCTTTGAACTGCGACAAAGTTTTAGGCAGGGAGTATTTCTTGACAAATCCACAAAATTCGGAAGATGCCCAATTGACAAGGAAATTTGCTCTAACGTTGGACCTAGACCTAGGAAAGTATGGCTTCAATTTATTCCCACGAGTATTTGATGGTTGAAGAGTAAGAGCTCCTCCTAAATCAACAACTGATCTCCCAGTGAGTATTCTAAATAGCATAACCACATCCCGCTTCTCCCTTCTACCAAAGCGACTCGATTCCGAGCATCTATTTCTTGTAGCTGCGCTAGGGATGGATTTATAACAGAAACCTAATGCCCGAGTCAAAACTTTATTTGTGAAACTATTCTGAACAGCTTCCAATCTAGCAGTACCCTTTTTGGTTCGAGGGAAGAATAGTTCCGTTCCGTATTCAGGAATCGGGCGCACATATATTTTGTAAGGTCTTACGAGTATGGTGGGGTCCCTAGTATATAGGCTCCTCAATAGTTGGAAAAGCCTCTTCTCGGCTTTATTTGCTATCGTCGTACAATGAGAATCGAACATCAGTCTATGATCAATTATGGAGCCCAGGTCTCTCATCTCCCTCACCTCATTGAGCTGATCACCATCCATGAAATAATTAAAACCGCGTTGATTGCTTCCTGAATGCAGAAGTGAGATTTATCATGAGCCAAGGAAAGGTCCCATACTTTAGACCAGCTCACTACGCAGCTATAGCATCCTGTACTCCCCTTGCATCCTGATCAACCAAGATCGACTTGTAAATTTTAATATCGTCAGCAAAAACTGCAGTTGGCGCCGGTCTGCTCCACAATCTTGGGCAAATTATAGGAGTAAACGCAAAACAATACTGGCGAAAGGACGCCTCCCTGCGGAACATCACTGGGCACAGCCTTTACCGACGAAAGTGATCCATTTATCCTTACTTGAAACGTTCTTTGAACGAGGAAAGAACTAATCCACCGATTTATTCTATCATGTATACCAACATGCTTAAAGGCACTGTTAACAAAAAAGTAAGGGTACCCTTTTTTTGACGGGAAAAGATAGAACTACTCTAGAATAAAGCGATAACAACGAAAAAGCGC